CCCTTGAGTACCTTTCATTAGTTTTTGTTCGTGTCTTGTTTAGTGTGATTGCATTTCATCTTCAAATATTTGTTACAATTTAAAAAAAAAAAACCCTAAACCCTAAACCCTAAACCCTAAAGCCTAAACCGGAAAATCATCACCAACAACCACCAAAACATCTCCTATAACCCCAATATCAGATTCATCCCCCAACTCAATAGATCTGAGTTTGAAAAATCATGGCACGAATCCCAAGGTCGTCGAAACACCCCCATACGCATTGAATCAGGGTCTAGGACTATCACCAATGATTCCAGAAGGGCCGAAAACCCTGGGGGTGGTAGAGATTTCATCCGAATCGCCCGAAATTGACAGATCGGATCCCGAGGGGCCAAAAATTGATTTTTCAATTAATCCTTCCATAGAGCTCAAACAGGGACACGCGCCTGACCATAAGATTACCCATGAAAAGGCGAACCTTCCACTAAAAATTCATCCAATTCCGACTCCGGACGCGCCCTCACCGGTCAACGGCCGGCGCGTAGTGGTCACGCGCCGGTGACACTTCACCAAAATGTGGGGAATTTTGTTACGGACCCAATTCCATCATCGATTTTTCCACATGAGGCCCAGACAGTGCTCAACCAGGGCCGAAAGACCTATGCTACTGCAGTTTCTGGCCGTCCGGGCCTGTCTCAAGCTGAACGGAGTTCACAAAAGTCGTTTGCATCGGTTATACAGGGTATAGATGACTCTTCCACTGCTGGGTTTTCTGCTAAAGAACCCTTTATATATATGGGTGAGCCGGCAATAGTTTTGACTGAGTCCGAGGAGGCTACACTCGCTGATCCTTACAAGTATACACTCGTGGGGAAATTTCCACATCGCAAGCCAACCATGAGGAAGGTACATGAGATTTTTTCTAAGTTTAGGTTCCATGGTTGTTTCGAGGTGGGATTGATCGACACAACACACATTCTTATACACCTTACACATGAGGAGGATTACAGCAGGCTTTTTCTTAAACCTTCATGGTATATTGATGGTTGTCCGATGAGAGTCCTTAAGTGGACATGTGACTTTACACCTGAGCAAGAGACTCCGATAGTTCCCGTATGGGTATCGTTCCCTCTGCTTCCAGTACATTTACGTACGAAGGGGTTCCTTTTCGCCTTATCTGGGGCAATAGGAATGCCCTTGAGAATTGATGAGGCCACCACCGACTTGAGACGACCTAGTGAGGCAAGGGTGTGCATTGAGGTGAACTTGGGGCATAAGTTGCCCGACAGGGTTTGGATTGAGCGTGCTGGTAACCGTGGCTTCTGGCAGACAGTTATCTATGAGAAGCGGCCAATTTTTTGCTTCTCTTGTAAACACTTGGGTCATTCTTATGATCAGTGTACTACGGTTCCTCCTCCTCCTCCTCCTGCAGTTGTTGTGTACCCCCCTGTTCGGCCCCTATTACTAGGACTGATAAGGATAAGGGCAAGGTGACGTTTGTGGAGCCAAAGAAGCAGTGGGTTCCAGTTTCAGCAG